GTATAAAAATTTAAAGATGTTTTTGTCCAACATGAGAGTGAGAAAGACAGTAAGCGCGTGGATAAACAACTGACAACTTAAGGAGCAGACAATATTTACCTCAAGGTAAAAATTTTTACATCCAACCTTCAAGTTACCAGCAGTAGCTGACGCTCTTGCGTGCGCACATGGATATAGTTCTCACTGCTTACCGACTAAGCTCCAATAACAATGTGGCAACGTCGCGAGTTCATGCGGGCGCGCTATAGCCTTCCAACCCCATTTAGGGGTAGTTTCGAACGTATTTTCAATCGGCTCCTATTTAAAAGCTATTTGCCCTAAAAAATTAATTCCAACGGGGTTCGCGTCAGAAAAAATCGCTCCACACGTGGTTCTCGGGAAATGCCACCGTTACATATCATGCTGTATAACTGGGATAATTTACTTCTATTGTTTAAAATATCATGTTAAATAGAGTATATTATTCATGGTTTCTTTTTTTTTAGTAGTTAGTATGCTTTTTCTTTTAATCTCGACACCCAACGACACCCAAGAGGTTCAGTAGCGAAACTACTGTGCCCCAACAGCACCTATGTGCTGTTTGCTGCTACTGTGCAGTAATGTGCGCAGTAAAACGTGGAGGTAATAGGGTAATAGAACTTTCAATGCAGTAGCACTTTCGGCCACCAGGCCTAGAAACCCCTGAAAGGATTTTAATCCAGTAAGGATTCTAATTCTGTAATGAGGAGACTTCCACGTATGTGATTAGAATTCTTACTGTTTTAGAATCTTAATAGTTTATCTACTCAGAAGGTAAATACTAAGAAAATTAATTGAGAAACTTCAAAATACCTAGGGTATCATTAGAATTAAAAATTTAAGGAATCATGTTTAAGAGGTGGCTAACGCATGGAGCACACAGAAGGTGGAGCCCCACTAACATTTATATTAGAGCAAACGTTATTTTCTAACTTTTTTTTATCTTCCTACCTTGTTTGCTTCAAGCGTACACCAACAAAGTAAGTTGCTAATAAATATATCTATGGTTGATCACTTCTAAATTAGTGTAGTACTGGAGATCAGAAATCTTTAAATTCATTTGAAATGGAGTTTTCGGCTTTTTACCGTTTTTTCTAGTTTTAGCCAAGAATTTCAATGATTTTTTCTATTCTCACTATTTTACGTTGATGAAATGTTATAAAATACTAATATAGGTATGAAAATTATTTTTAGCATTCTACAGTTTGGGAAACTTTTTATTACTAGCTTTTCTTCTGTCACGTACTACTAACAATCTCAAAAAAAATTCTGATACCCAAAAAAAATCATTTTTCTAAACTTTTGGTTGCTTTACCTTGTACAGTTTGTCTCGTTACTTTTAAATTTATTTATTTAGTGAATCACTTCAAGTGACTGCTTTCTGCTTTAATGGAATAAATTTCCTGAAATTAAAAAAGTCAACAGATTTCTCTAATTTTTTACTTTTTCTGCTAGTTGGTTTGTCGAATTCATTTAATACATTAGACTCAACATTTTTATTTATTTATATTGTAACATGTCAGTTAAAATTTTCATAAACTTTCTTCCAAGGTAGGCGTAGTGTGCATTATTAACATTACTGTACTCCAAAAGCTTGATAAAAAGTTTTAGTCTTTCGGAAATTTCTTATGACTCCCGATGACTTGTGCTGACTTGTTATGTTTTAACAAATTAAACCTATTTCAGACTAATTCTAAAATCACTTTGGATTTTTAAAAATCTGACAATAATTTTCTGATGATTTTTTATGATTTTAAACATATAGATTCTTTAGGCAGATTTTTAACAGTGCGCAGCTTCTTCATTAATCACAAAGCTTGTATGCTTTTAAATTGCATGAGTTAAAAGCTATGGCTTTTATTGCATAAGTTTAAAAAATTATCAACCTACTTTTAGTTATTATTTGATTAAACTCCTCAAAAGTGACAGAAATTGAGTAATTCTCTATTTTTTGAATTCATATCAATTTTATAGTAAATTATAGTTACTGTTCAACAAATAAGTCCATAAAGCTATTACGAATCTTTGAAATAAAAATTTTCGTAAAAATTTATTTGATTTTACATGATTTAAGTATGTTAAAATTTTAATGTGTAATATGTTTTGTATTATAAAAACAAAACAACATAATTTCTTTAATTTTTTGAAGTTTTTCAAAGGTTTATAAAAAGTAATTTTCTGATCAAAGTCAAGCCGAAAATTGTATTTCTTACATTTTATTATATTTATTGTTTCTTCTACTTACTTACGACATCATGTAGTAAATTGTAATTTCAAAATGTAAACTTAGACAAAAAAAAAGAATTCCGAACATTGTACTTTTTAAAACGTAATTTCAGAAAGCTCAACTTTTTAATCAATTAATGTCTATGTTACATTTTAACTATATTTAATTTTATTTTGGTTGTAACATTGGTTTGTGTATCTATATTGTGATACACAGCAGGGGTTTAATTAAGCTAAGCAATACATTGTGGTATTAAAAAAATATAGTAGTCCTCAAGACATTATTTGCCTTTGACATCAAAAAGGGGTTAGGTTAACGTCACATTACCACGTCATTATTTTGGTTTTTCGATATGTTGCTAACCACGATTGAGCCCCAGACTAGCCCATACTAAGAAACATTAGGCTTTTACACCCAAATGCGATAAGAGCAAGGAATAAGAAAGTCACGAGAACAAAAAGAATATCAGCAGGAATGAGTAACAGATGGAGATTAATGTATTAATCTACTATACTTTTTTAAAAACATTAATCGAGCTGTTGGCCTGTTATTTTCAAAAAAGTGTAGTACATTTATACTTTATTATTCTGCTTATTTTGCTTATGCTTACTAAGATTTCTCTTGTTCTCATTACTTCTTCATTCGTTACTCTAATCGCATTAGGGCTTATTCCACCGCAAGGAGAGGATCGCCATCACAAGTGGTGTAAGGATTAAAATTTTTTAAAGTTTATTAGTAATTGTTCACTAATAAAAAGAAAAGTACGTAAAAAGGGTAATATAAACCATATTATTATTAGTATTCATTCTCTGTTATATACGTTTCTTTTCTACCTATAAAAAGTATTATGCAAAGTGTGATTTGTCGAGTAATTTTACATCAAATCTAACAAAATTTAATCAAGCAAATTTTTTTTTTACTAGTTTTTGAAAATTGACGTTATATACATATGTGTGATCCAAAAGATTATATTATGACGTCAGATTGACGCCTTAATAAACAGGACTTGTGAGCTTAGAGGAAAATAAAATTTAAAATTACAGGTGGCTCTCTCCGTGGTAACAAGATATAATAAACTTATACGATTCTTTATGTACCACAGTATTTCAGCGTTTAGGCACTAGTATTTCTTTCCTTAAAAGTCGTTTCCTAATAATTTTTGAGCATGTTTATCATCATCTTGTCATGCTGCATTGTTTTTGATGTTAGATTACCTGGTTTATTACAGTTTTCATAGGTTAAAAATAATTTTAATACAATAAAGAATCATTACTAATAATTATATAATTTATT